GACACACACACACACACACACACACACACACACACACACACACACACACACAGATAGACAGACAGGCACACAGACAGACAGACACACAGACACACACACTCACGAGACCGACAGACACACACACACACACACACACACAGAGAAACAGCAAGAGAGATCTGGTGGGATAAGCTGCTCCAAGGGCTGGCCTGGGCAGGTCCAGGTAAGGTTTACATTGACCCAGATGTCAAGGAAGTAGGTACTAAGCAGTGTACACACACACACACACACACACACACACACACACACACACACACAGAGAGACAGACCACAGACAGACAGACAGAGACACACAGACAGACAGACACACAGAGAGACTGACAGACAGATACACAGAGAGAGGGGGGAGGGAGATAAAGGGAGAGAGAGAAAGAGAGAGAGAGAGACAGACAGACAGACAGAGAGAGACAGACAGACAGACAGAGAGAGACAGACAGACAGACACACACACACAGACAGACAGACACACACACAGAGACAGACAGATACACACAGAGAGAGAGGGGAGGGAGTGAGAGGGGGAGAAAGAGAGAGAGAGAGAGAGAGAGAGAGAGAGAGAGAATAAGATCACTGAAAGTTTAATAATCAAGTTTAACAAAAAATAAACGGCATTGCAGAGGGGAAGAAAGAGAAAGGGGATGGGATTACCAAGAAACAACAACAAAATAATAAATAGATTACACAGAGGTGAGGGCATTTCCAGATTGAAAATGCCAGAGGGCATGGTATGATGAAGTTTAGAAAAGGGTTCAAGAAGTGTCCAGAACCACACGTGGCATGGGCACAGGTGCCTAAACCCAGCCAGGCCAGGAGCAACACTGTTTCTCACCTAGAACTGCACACTCAGTGTGTGAGATAGATAACAACATGGCCACATGCACAAGGTCTGAGAAGATGCAGTGTTGGGAGAGTCCTGAAATTCTGTCCATAAGAGCAAGGAAGTAACAGAAAGTCTCAACCAAAGCAGGAAACAAGGCCAGCAACTGCACAGGTGAAGTCTGAGGGTGACAAAGAAAACACGGCATGAAAAGCCACCCATGCTTCAGACTTACAGAGGCACGCACAGCTCCCGTAACTAGAAACCAGCAGAACACTAAGAAAAACCCAGACAGTTATCAGAAATAGCAAGTGGATCACATGTTTTACACTTGCAAACAGGATTTACAGCGCAGCTGTGTGTACCACAGAGGGATGGATGATCTCAAAGTAAGAGCTGCTTACAGAGGAAATAAATAACAAGCAACGATTTCTTTTACGGGACTGTAACTTACAGTCAACAATTTCATCTCAAATATAAATACAACCTACTAATTCACTAAGTCACCTTTCAAGAAGTATATATTTTTAAATCTTGAGTTACAATTATAAAAATCTCCGCTAACACATATGCACTCGGCCATCCAAGATGTGGAGTTTGCTGAGGGTCCCAACTGTTGTTCAGAAGCAGCAGCAGCTACCACCAAGGAAACCACAAACCTGGCCACGGTGGAGTGCTAAGAACGCTAATGATGACAGCTGCACCCTGAGAACACTGCATGCGTGCCCAAACACACTGCTGATCGTTGCAGCCTGAAAAGCTTGGAGTTCAGATATAAAGAAGTTACCAGAACGCTCCCATTGCCTTTCCAATGTCTCAGTACAATTAAAACAGCCCTTTCTAAGTTAACATGAAGAAATGCAACGTTTCTATTTAGCTGACAGTAGTAGGCAATCTGATACACGCATAAAAACAAAAAGATTTGTGCAACTCTGACATAAAGAAGTATTTGTTCACGTCACTTAATATAAGATTCTATATCCATTCAATTCTTTGTGCTTTAGTTAGCATTATAACAAAGGAAATACCTGAACTTCAGTGATAAGTTACTTAGCAAATTTTTAACCTACTTCTAAAGACTAAAAATTCTTAGTGATGCAATCTATGCTTTACCTTATAAATTCAATTTATTAGCACCATTCTTTTCATTTTTAAATAATCACAAAGAACCATGTGTAGAATGGTTGCCTTATTTTGCCAAAATAGTGAGCTCTTCTAAGACTTATGAACATGAGAACACACATATATACAAACACTCAACTCCCTGTGTAAGATTTCCATAAACCACACCAACTTGGGTAACAACACATTCTGCCAAGCCTGAGGGACCCAACTCCATTCCCAAGACCCCCACGGGGGGTGGGGGGAGAGAACAGAGTTGTGCAAAACTGTCTCCTGTCTTCCTCGTCCTTGCCATGGTAAGTGTTCTCAAATGTGTACATACACACAGGCTCACTTGCTTACACAAGCTTGCACACGCGGGATCACACCCTGACCAACACTGCTTAGATAGCAAACCAAACCTAAGACCGATGTCAGGAGCCTGGAGGTGGACTTAGGGGAGGGGAGGTACTTCCTGGAACTCTTTGTTCTTCTTCCCAGAGTGGTCACTTCGTATCAAATCTCCTCTCTCTGCTTTTCACTATCACTTCCCTGTTTAACTGCCCTACAGAAATGAGAGTCCCAGTGCACCTCGCTGGGTGGCCAGGGCCCAGCTCTGACCCTAACAGCTCTGCCTGCAATAGCTGGGCTCTCGGCATGTGTGTGCCTGTAGGAGTGGAGCTGCACCGCCTAACTCTAGGTGTAAGGCTTTAGGAAGCTACCAGCTGTGTTACACAGGCTGAACCTTTTCACAGTCAATGCATGAAGGGCCCGTTCCCTCATATACCCAGCTGCACTTACTGCTCTCACAGCACAGCTGGTGGCCAGTCAAAAGAAAGTTCCAGACAGTAAGATACAGAGTACCCAAATACAACATAAAAAGTTCCTGTGAAGTCTTGTGTGTCCACTTTATATCCCGCTAACCACTGATCCTTAGAAAGCCAGAAAAAGACAGCACAGGAAACACCTTAAGAATTTAATAAATGCCTCATTTGTGTGATAGACAAATTAGCATGTGCTATCAATAGATTTAAAAAAAAAAACAAAGCAAAACTACTTTAAAATGACCCAGATGATCTAAAATAGCAACTTTCTGAATTCTTAACCTAATTACAAACCGAATTTTCCTCCTCTTCTTCCAGCTCCCGCTGCTGCTCCTCCTGCCTTTTGGCTTTGATTTCCATGGCTTCGGTGATCAGGTCTCTTAATATTGACACGGGTTTCGCATTCTTGATAAAAGGATGCTACAAAGGCAAAGGTAAATGGTACAAATTCAGATTTTTTTTTCTCAATTATACCCAACAAATATTAAAACACCAATAACTGGTAGTCAGAATCATAGGCTTCAATAATTATTTTATAGGCCAGGCGGTGGTGGCACATGCCTTTAGTACCAGCACTTGGGAGGCAGAGGCAGGTGGATCTCTGTGAGTTCAAGACCAGCCTGGTCTACAAGAGCTAGTTCCAGGACAGCCTCCAAAGCCACAGAGAAACCCTATCTCAAAAAAACAAACTAACAAAAATTTATAACTGTGAAAATAGTATTTTGTTTGCTTTAGAAAAAATGACCAGGTGGTGGTGGCACACACCTTTAACCCCAGCACTTGGGAGGCAGAGACAGGTGGATCTTTGTGAGTTTGAGGTTAGCCTGGTCTACAAATCAAGTTCCAGGTCAGCCATGGATACACAGAGAAATCCTGTCTGAAAAAAAAAAGAAGGGAAAAAATGCTTTTGAGTTCACTTGTTTAAAAAAAAAAAAATCTAAGCATACACACAAAAAAATACCATTAATAAAGTTAGACAACCTTAAAGATGTATTTGTTGAAAGAAAGTGAGCATTAGGTGGTAAAAGTTTTTAAGTATTTTAGGGGATTAATGATTACAGGTGAAAATAAACTTATTTTAGCTCTGTTAGAGGATTTAATTAATTTTAATACCTGATGGCCAAACAAAAGAGAACTAACTTGTTACTTTTGCATAATCCCTATTCTGTTGTGTCTTGAACTATTTAGTGACTTACAGGGTAGAGAGAAAAATAACTCCCCAACTCCCACCTTGTTGTGGTCTATGGCATCTTTCTTTATTTCCCTTATCTAGCTAAGAAAGGACAACATTCTTCACTAGTTTATAAGCCGTGCACTTTGATAAGCAAAGGAAAACCATCAGAACAGAATTGACCTCTTTAATTACACTTTAAAAGTGTGTGTGCATCTGAAGATTATCAAATTTGTTAATGAGGGACACACTGTGAGACACACTGTAGACACACTGTGAGGCACACTGTGAGGCACACTGTGAGACACACTGTGAAATACACTGTGAGGCACACTGTAGACACACTGTAGACACACTGTGAGACACACTGTGAAGCACACTGTGAGGCACACTGTGAGGCACACTGTAGACACACTGTGAGACACACTGTGAGGCACACTGTAGACACACTGTGAGCCACACTGTAGACACACTGTGAGACACACTGTAGACACACTGTGAGCCACACTGTGAGCCACACTTATTATTTGAAAGTTCTGAGGCAATTCTGTTGAGGAACAAAGAACTTCCACAAATTTATTTATTACAAGTATTTTTTTTTCTTTTTGAGACAGGGTTTCTCTGTGGCTTTGGAGACTGTCCTGGAACTAGCTCTTGTAGACCAGACTGGTCTCCAACTCACAGAGATCCGCCTGCCTCTGCCTCCCGAATGCTGGGATTAAAGGCGTGCGCCACCACTGCCCGGCTTTATTATAAGTATTAAGTCATTTCTTTTTGCTTTAAATTTCACAGATTTTTAAAAAGTCTCTTGGTATTCTGGATACAAAGTTTATTTATAGTAGGGATATTAAAATTTCATTTAGGTAATCCTTTTTTAAGTATTTTATTAATTCATTTTTTATTTTATAAATTTTACTTAAATTAGAAACAATCTTATTTTACACATCAATCCCAGTTCCCTCTCCCTCCATTCTCCCATGCCTCCCTCCAGAGCCCCCATTCCATCCCCAGTCCACTCCCCAGGGAGGGTGGGGCCTTCCATGAGGGATCATCAAAAATCTGTCACATCATTTGGGGCAGGACCGAGGCCCTCCCCTGTGTATCTAGGCTGAGAGAGCATCCCTCCATGGGGAATGGGCTCCAGAAGTCCATTCGTGCACTAGGGATACATCCTGGTTGCACTGCCAGAGGCCCCATAGACTGCCCAGTGCTCCTAGCTGACACCCACGTTGGGGGGGGGGCTGGTTTGGTCCTATGTTGGTTCCCCAGCTGTCAGACTGGGGTCCATGAGCTCCCACTTGCTCAGGTCAGCTGTTTCTGTGGGTTTCCCCAGCATGGTCTTGACCCCTTTGTTCGTCACTCCTCCCTCTCTACAACTGGATTCTAGGAGTTTGGCTCAGGGCTTAGCTGTGGATCTCTGCTTCTGCTTCCTTGTATAGCCACTTGGGAAATCAGTATGAAGGTTTCTCAAGAAAATGGGAGTCAGTCTACATCAAGATCCAGAAATTCCACTCTTAGGCATATACCCAAAGGATGCACATTCATACAAGGACATCTGTTCAACTATGTTCATAGCAGCACTATTTGTAATAGCCAGAACCTGGAAGCAAGCTAGATGCCCCTCAACTGAAGAATGGATAAAGCAAATGTGGTACATTTACACAACGGAGTACTACTCAGTGGGAAAAAAATGAAATCTTGAAATTCACAGGCAAATGGATGGAACTAGAAGAAACCATCCTAAGTGAGGTAACCCAGTCACAGAAAGACAAACATGGTATGTACTCACTTATATACGGATATCAGACATACAGAAAAGGATCACCAGCCCACAATCCACACCTCCAAGGAAGCTAGGAAACAAGGAGAACCCTAAGAGAAACATCATGGTCCCATAGTGAAGGGGGAAGGGATGAGATCTTCTGAACAAATTGGGAGCATGCGGGGAGTGGGGGAGTTAGAAGAATGAGAAGGGGAAAAGAGGAGGGGAGAGGAGGACCTGAGGGAGCAGGAAGATTGAGTCAGGGGAAGAATAGAGGAGATCAAGAAAAGAGATACCAAGAAAAGAGATACCATCATTGAGGGAGCCATTATAGGTTTAAGGAGAAATCTGGCACTAGGGAATTGTATAGAGACCCACAAGGAAGACCCCAACTAAGAGTTTAAGCAATAGTGGAGAGGCTACCTTAAATGATGACTACCTTAAATGCCATCCTAGAGCCTTCATCCAGCAGCTGATAGGTAATCATGTTAACTGGTATTTATAACATGTAATCCTTTCATGGAGTTCAGGGATCTTGGATTCACAGTATATTACACACATCAGAATGGAGTAAAAAGTGAAGGGAGAAATGCCGACTCAAGGAAAGCCCTGGGAAATAAAACTAGAGAGACAAGAACTCAAAAGAGGAGAAAACGGACAAAGCAGGAAATGACCTGGGACCAGATGTAAGGCAAAGGAATATGCAGCATGCCTCCCAATCCATGTTTCAACTCTCTAGAGGGCAGTCATGTGACCCAGCAGCACCTGCTGGCCAGCATCCGAAGCTGCAAGAAATCCCTCCCTCCGAGGAGGCACTGACCTGTAACAGCTGTGTTGCTGTGGCTCTCTGTTCAGGACTCTTCACTAAGCACTTTTTAACAAAATCCGTGAAGTCGTCAGACCAGAGTTCAGGCTTCCTGAATGTTGGTGGCGGGTTTGTGGGAATCATGAAAATGGCCTAGATGAAACATCCAAAAGACACAGTAAGAACCACAGGACAACAACCAAAGAAGTAAGTTTCCATCTTCTTGTCAGATTCTAAGTCTCAAAAGTAAGTTTAAGTGCAGGAATACCTGTGACACTGCAATTGGGAACCAAGTCCATCTGCTACTAATGTAACTATTCCCTGTCAGCTCCCTCAACTTGAACTGTACCTCAGGGAGCACATCATTTATTTATCTATGAGTTTTGTATCTATCTCCAAAGGAGACACATTTATAGCCCTTTTACCAAAGACATTCCCCATCAAAGATCCATTTCCAAATCTTGCTACTGTGTGTGTGTCAGACTGACTTCCTATTTCAGTTTTAAAAGGCCACCAGTAATCTAATCTGCATCTATTAGCAAATTACTTAAACATAAACAAAATTGCTACTATGATTTGAATACTAGATTATCAAGATTCTAAATGAAAATGTCTTAAAATATACCACTTGAGTTTGTCAGAAATAGGTTAAGTGCTAAACGTTTAATAGTTGCAGTAACTCGTTCAGACAGTTCAAACTGATTAGCTGAAAGTCTCCTCTCACAGCCTGTTAACCATTGCTTTCAAGTTCCATGCCAGAAAACAAAACCAACTGAAACAAACGGATAATATACTCAGTAAATGATAACACTTTTATTCCTACATGCTATAAAAGAGGCAAATAGCAGCAACAAAAATTTTGTGAAATAAAATGAATGAGAACAGGTAAAAATTGCTTATATTTAATATGCAAATTTATACAACTATACAATTAACACCATGGGTGAGATGACGAAATAAAAGGCCTTTAACAACAATAAATATGCACATTCAGCAAACAACCATGGGCCCCTTGAACAGAGAGAAACTCTCAGGTAGCACCCTAAAACTCTCCCTTTCGAAGTCTGAGAATTCTTTCCCTTTTGAGACAGCATCACGGGCTTTAGATGGGCCTCTTCTTTTATATGCAAATTTATTGTACATTAAGTTATGCCCATTCTCCTTTATTCATCAAAAAGACAGAGGTGGTAATACTATAAATTATAACACTCAGAAACTAAGGGTTTTTAATCATTAAGACAGAATTAAAAAACATGGCAAAATTTCTGTCCATATATGGAGAAAAGTTGCTAACTACAGAGTTACACAGATAACACATTCTACTGTATCAATTTTAATGTGTTCCCTGCATAAGGCAGAGCTTCTACTGCCCACTGACTTTTTATTAATTGGCAAAAAGACATATGTGTCTCGAGACACTCATAGTAAAGATATACAACAGGATATTTAGTTCAACCCTTTCATTTTACAGAAAAATAACCTAAAGTCTAGAGAGGTTAAGAGTTAAAAATGAAATTTCAGATTTGCAAACAGGGCTGTCATTTAAAACATCAGAAAAGCACATAATGCTTCTAAGTTTCAACAGGCAAAGATGATTGTTAAATTAAAAAAAAAAAAAAAGCCTAAAAAGGCAGAATACGTGGCAAATGGTGATGCTGCTGTTGGCAAGCAGAGCTGCCAAGTCTTCCTTCCCCCTCTCAGTGCGGAAGCACATACAAGCTTTAGGCCTTCAAGAGGCCAAGAGCAGCAGGGAAGACTGCTTGGACTTACTACAGTCACAAACGGTGACAGTAGATGAGACTGGAGTTTATTGACACCCAACTCCTCTCAGCAGACAGCATCAGGGAGACCAGTTATGCACACGTGAAAGAAATGAAGTTGACGCTACCACGGAATTCAAAATTATCAAGGGCTTAGCCCTGAGAGCTAAAACCATAAAACTGTGAGAAGGAAACACATGAGGTAATGTCATGACAATTAGTTTAGCAATGTCTTCTTGTATGGAACAAAAGCTCAGGCAATAAAAGAAAAGAAAGTAAGTCAGGTGGACTTCATAGAAAGCTGAGGCTTTGTGAACAAAGGACATCATCCCAAGAGCAAAAAAGACAACCAGAGCCCAGAACTGCACAGAAACCAATGAAAGCTAGAAGGCAGAAAGGATCCCCACAACTCAATTATCAAAAATATACACAACTCAATTTTAAAACAGGCAAAGCACTTAAATGAACATTTCTACAAAGAAGAAACAAAAGTGCTCATGAGCACGTGGAAGACACCCATCACCAGTCACCAGGGAAAGGCAACTCCAACCAAGCCCAGCACTTCCAACTCAGCAGGCAGCTACCGGGTGGGGGCGGGGTGAAGCTGGGACTGCAGGCAGGGCAGAACTCAGCTCCTGCAGGGGGCCTGTGTGAAATTCCCAGCACCCACATGGTGGCTCACAAAGGGAGTGTGGCACTAGTCCTAGGGAATCCGGTGTTTCTTTTTGACCTCCACGGGCAGACTCACACATGGTGCACATACATACAGGTAGGAAAAATGCCCACACACATAAAACAAGTCAAGTCAATATAAAATAAAAAGGCCTGTCCTTTTTGTATGAACATGCTTACACATTTTCTATCACAATACACCTGTGATCATTCCTCAAAAGCAGTGTAGCCAGTATCGCAAAGCCAAATAAATGCAGACAGTCAAATGTTTGTAAGACCATCTCCATTCAGTCAGCTGACACTGTGGTTCAGAAGCCATGAACTGACAGGCCACTAGCCAAGCAACAACAGGGGCTTACTTTGTATTTGTGTAGACACTGTCAAGCTTACCTGTAAGGTAAGAATCTCTTGGAATTGGGCTAATTTAAACCTAGATGTAGATCTTCCTCTCCAAAAGGGCTTTTGTGGTGATAGTGGTCCCTTTAAGTATGGGCCTTTGTAAGACTTGCTATTTCAGATTTTAAAATGCTACCTGAAACCCATAGAACTCACAGTCAACTTATAGAGAAAACGTAATGAGCACACAAAACAAACACCATGAAATTCTGTCTCTGGATAGCCGGGTTCATCTCTGATGACTCCATAGTTATATTAGACTCTACTGAGGCTTTGAGATTGGACAAAATACACAGAAGCTTCAGAAAAGAGAGAACATTGCCTGTCGTGTCAGAGGGAAAATAATAAATCTGAACCGGTCATTTGCAGAGCGGTTCAAAGGTCTAAGCCCACAGAGTTGACCTCATCCTCGAACTGCAGGTAGATACTAGATTGTCTAGATAAACGTTGTTCCCTGCTGTTCTGTTACAAATTAGCAGATAACAACCAGTGATTTATGTCCTTGAAGCTAATGCTCCCCTTTGAACTTTGAGACAATAAGTTGTACCCTTATCACCAGATAATCTTCACATATAAGGCTCACCTGGCAGTAGCTATTAGAAACCCAAGGATAAAAAGCTTAACTCTAACTCTTATTTGCCCAGTACTACCATAAAGTGAATATAAATGTCACATCACACCTACAAACAAGCACTAAGCAAGCATGAACACTGAGCACACAGTTCAAATAAGTAAGTCTGTCAAAATGTCTCCAGGAAAGCCACTATGTCTTTCATCTCTGTCTTATTCAGAAAACCAGCAACAGACTAGCAGGTTTCTCAGTCTTTACTGGGTATGACTAACCGTGAGGATCCCAAGAAGCTCCAGGTTTCATGAAAGTTGATTAAGTCATAAGCCCTTGCTGTAAAAAGTGCTGATCATCAGTGGCTAGCCTTAGACATCCCTGCCACCAACCAAATAGCACAGACACACACATTAGAGCCATATAACTTATCTTATCTCTAACACCATTTGATTGAAGAATGTTAGTATAATAAATTATATGATTATCCTGTGCTTGTTTCTACACAATATATTACTTAACTACATACTGAACCTATCATGAAGGGTTTTTTTTTTGTTTTATTTTTAATTTTCCTGATCACAAGTAAAATGAAGAAGTCAAAAAGTTAAATGTTCTTCAAAACATCTTTGCACCTGGGATCTCATGCGTCAGCCTCCAGGAGGGCTTGTACTTGTATGAAATGCTTCGCTGAGAAGCCATAGCACATGGATTTACAATCTCAGTGTAAGGGGTCAACACCTGCTGATCTGTGAATGTACAGAAGCAAGGAGCATGCCAGGCTAACAGTACATCATGGACAACACGAGCAAGAGGCTGGCTTCTTAGCAAATGAAGGGAAGGAGGTGGCACCTTAGAAAATGACACAGAATAGCAGAGCTCTCCCACAGGAATGAACATAGCATACCGGTAGCCAGGTATTTTACAAAAGGAAATACAGTGATAACTTCTTTTCAACAATTCAATGAAGGAACGAACAACAAATGGAATTAAAACTGGACCTCAGTGGAAACTCGGGCCACCTGACAGCAGTGCCGGTGGTTTGTCTTCACACAGTGAGGTGGCCTGGTGGAGCTCTCGGTATACAAAAGATGTCAGCAGTCCAGGCAGAAAGCCCTCGCCATGCAAATATTAATGTGTAGTCTGAAAGGAAATGCCCACGTGAAAAAGGCAAAGCAAACCTCATTCCCACTCTGTGGTTTCTACAGGGCACACTGGGTACAGCACCGGGACCAGAAACTCACAATTGTTCCACCTCTAATCAAAGGGACGTCCATAGTCATTCATCAGGCCAGGAAACACCAGCGTGACGGCTTGGAAAGTGATCTAAAGGAAAGAGGTGCAGTGTAGACTCTGGCTCCACGATGATGTAATATCTTCATCATTGGAAGAACACTCCACTGGACAACCCAGCCCCACAGTTACCATGGAAAGGCAGGTCTCTTCTGTGGATCTTTAGTCTCAAAAGCAATCTTAGGAAGAACTTTATTATTGATTAAGAGAAAACCTTCAGGGCAGATAAGCTGAAAACTCAGCCTTCTGGGACAGAAAGATGGAAGGAAAGTCATGCCTTTAGGTTGGGCACTAAGGTCAGAGACACAAGAAGGAAGCCAAGAATGTGGAGGCAAGCAGGGGCTCCCTTTTCCTGGCATCCAGAAGAGAGAGAAGGAGGAAGAGGAAAGGGAACCTCCATGCTTGGTGCCTGCCCAGGGACAAGGCTTCGGAGGACACCTGACTTTAGGCTCTTGTGTGCCAAGACAGAAACGTACCCGGGTAGTGACA